GCTGGCCTTCTCCACTGCTCCCCCCACCTCCCGGGCCAGCTTGGTCCTCATTTGTTCCCTTTCTTTCTACCTGCCTCTTGGTTTGTGATGGGTGGACGGAGAAGGGAGGCTGATTCCCAGCATAGTGGGCAGCTCCTAGTGGGGCACTGGCCGCTGTTATATGTGTCCTCCTACCAGGCCAACATGTGGTCAAGAGCCTGTGTGACTCGGGGCAGGAGAGGCCAATGAGCCCCCTACAGGAGGAGCTCTGCTGCAGCCTAATCTCAGTTTCCTGGCTCAGACTGTACTTTCCGTACAGGTTAAACAGCACCGAACATCCCACAGGTCAGCACGTAATGGTTCCTCCCCAGATGGCAGCCAAGTTTAGTGTGCCAAGTGCTCACACGGCCACCCAAGACCTGTGTTCAAGTGCATTGGTCCCAGACTCATGCACAGTTCTCTCAGTCCATGTTTTCGGCTGCTTTTCAGTTCTGTCGACCCAACCATCTATGCTCCTAATGTCCTTAGAGGCACGAGCTTAGAAAAAGTGTGTTCAAACTCTTGGAGCAACTGGCAAGCTCAGCCCACATTCCGATGCCTGAGGACCCCCATCCAGGGCCTAAGCAGCCACCACCCGTCGACACAGTCTTGGCTCCCTGGCATTGTTTTGCCACTTCCCACCCCTGGGCTGGGTCCTCGGCCATCCGGGCTCTCCTGCCTCACCTGCCCCAGGTGGAACGCTGTGGACACAGTCTGAGTGGTAGCCAGGGATGAGTCTGCCTGAAGGGGACTAAGTCAAGGGTTCTAAAGTGGGAATTGGGACAGGGACAACGGAGGGACTTCATAAACCCTGGCAACAGATGGTGGTTGGAGAGCTGGGGGGTCCATCTCTCAGTGCTATTACACACCTAGACGGACCTTGGACAAAGGAGTTAGCCGCCACTGCTTTCCTGAGCAGAGCTGGGCTCCAGGCTCACAGTGGCTGGCTATCCAGCTATTGCCTGGTCAGGGCTGAGGGCCGAGGAAGCTGGGGGAGGGGTGCTGGGCCTTCGGCAAGCACATGGCAAGTGCAGGTCAGGAAGCTTCTTGCAGATCGCTCTGTTCTTAGGGAACGGATTGCTCCTTCTGCTACTTCAAGGCCTATGGCCTTCACACCAGGCCAACAAAGTGGAAGGAGCCGGCTCCTCTGACAGACCCCAAGTCTCCTCAAGCATGAAGCCCCTCCATTTTCCTGTTCTCTGCCCACCCCCACCGCTCCAGACCACTCCAGAGAGTCAAGTGTGACCTCTATCACCAGAGAGAATATGGGGAATAGCCTCTGACAAGAATTCGTGACTGGACTCTGTCGCTGACTGACCTAGGCAGTGTGGGCCTCTTGGGTCTGTCTCTTGGAAAGTCTAGTGGGGATCAGGTGACCTCAGCAATCTAGCTCCTGTTGGAGCCCTTGTTCCCTTTGAACCTGGCCCAGGGTGCCTGTGGCACGTAGGGGTGCTCCACACATCTGGGACTGTCCAGGTGAGTACAAGGGTCAAACTTGCTCCCTGGGAAAATGTTGCCAGAGGCTTGAGGACCAGCTTAGGCAGCCTAGGGTTCTGAGGGACCCTGGCAGGAAGCAGGCTTCCTCCTGGCTAGGGTGCTCAGCTCCAGTTCTTGAGTTTGGGGAAGAGGTTGCTCAACCATTGGGTGGAGCCCAGGGAGGGAAGATGGCGCCAAAGCTGGAGAAAGTGGAAAAGAGCGAGTAGCTTGGTGGCTGGGAGACATAACTGGACGAGAAGGCCTCTTTTTGCGTGCCCTCTCCTGGGAATAAGGAAGCCCTCAGTGCAGAGGCTGGGGTCGGGAAGGTCTCCCAGAGCAGCGGGAGCAGGGACCCCTGCTTTCTCTGGGTTTCTTGTTTTCCTTGCAGCCCCTCCTCCCCCAAGCTCTCCATCTGGCTGCTTCAGTGGCGCAGCGGCTACAGCAAGACCAATTCTCTCCCAGAGTTTCCCACAGTCTCCCGACCACTGAAACGGGTGGCAGCGGCACCCAAGTGTGTGAATGTGGGATTGAGTGGAGGTCATCAGAGCGTCCCACCACGCTATCTTCCCTGCCCACCACCCACGGAATTCCAGCCACGAGGGGGCGCCTCCCTGTCCGCCGTCTCAGGATGGGGAGGCCCAGCCTAGGCCGCTGGGGTTCTGAGTTCCAGGGCGAGCTGCCCGAAGAGTCCCCCAGGAGCACTCTGGGTAGATGGGTGGGCAAGGTCACCAAATCTGGTCTTCTAAAGAGATGGTTGGCCTCCCCTAGGAGAGGGGCCTGGGCGATCCCACTCTGGGGCCCCAGGCTAGCCCTAATACTCACGAAGCTAGGGTCTGTGGGGCTGGGGCGGGGCAAGGCTCACCTCCAAAGCTTGCCCAGCGTCTTGCTGAGCTCCGCATTGTGGAGGTGCGGGTATTGGTCAGCCAGCTTCCTGCGCGCCGCCTGTGCCCACACCATGAAGGCGTTCATGGGCCGCTTGACGTGCGGCTTGCTCTTGCTGGCGCCATTGACACGCACGGGCATGGGCACCAGCGTCCAGTCGTAGCCGCTGAGCACCTGGCTGACGGCCTCGCGGATGCACACAGGGAACTTGTCATCATCTGCCTCGCCGTCCTGCTGTTCCTTCTTGACCTTGCCCAGTTCTCCGGGCCCCGGGCTGGCTCGCAGGCCCGAGCCACCGCCGCCGCCGTCGGGTCCCAGCGACGGCGCGCTGCCAGGGGACAGGCAGCGGGGCTCCTCGGAGCCCACAGGGCTCAGCTCCACCTCTGATAGGTCCTGTTCCTCCGCCATGTCGCTCCTGGCCGCCGCCGCTTCGGCCGCCTCCCCCAGGCCCACCGCCGGGGTCCTCGCGAAGAGCCCAACGCCCACCTGGACAGGAAGGAGGGCGCGATGGAGAGGCGCCGTGCGCCACCCCAGGCTGGACGCGAATGTAGCCCCGAGGTGGCGGCCCTCTTTGCCCGCGCTAAATCCACTCGGGCCTGGGCCCGCGCACATGCCAGACCCTAAGTGGGTGCGTCCCGCCTCTATGTCTTCCCACCCCCTGATCCCAACCGTCTCTAGGTGTGGGTGGGTTTTTTCCTTAAACCTCCTCTTGGGTGGAGGTTTGTTGATGGAAAGGAAGAAAAACGGACCCTTTATTCGACTCTAATCCGGGCCCCTGGAATTTCCCACCTTTTCTCTCAACTCTCCTTTCCCTCGTCTGCCCTGACAGTTTAAGGAAGTTGGGTGGGGGGTGCATGTCAGCCTGTGGGGTGTCAGCCTCTCCCACCCCAAACTGGGGGGACCCAGACCCCTGATGGCAGTCCTGGCCCAGGGGAGACGTGCGCACTCACCTCCTCCGACCTCTCCTCCAGTCTGGGGCTCGTCCTGAGGAAGTGGAAAACCGTGTCCCAAGGTGTGCGGTCCAGGTCGGGGCTGGGGGGCTGACACTGATGGACTGGGAGGGAAGGGCTGGGGGGCCCTAAACCTCAGGCCACAGCCTCGTCTGGACGGAGCCTGAATCCTCACCACCAAACACCCTGGCTGGACAGCCCGAGACTGACTGAGCGACTGAGCCGCTGCAGACGGCTGGGGAAGGAAGGAGGGGGAGGGGAGGGGGGAAAAGGAGGGAGGGAAGGGCAGAAGGTGGAGCCTCCAGCGCTGCCTTCATCCCCAACACCCAGGACGCCTCCACTCTGCCCAGCTCACCCCCCCCCCCCCAAGCCCTGCCCGCACTGCTGCCTAGGCCCGTCTCCCTGGACTAAGCTTGGGTTTGGGCAGCTGGTGTGAGAATCGGGGCACTTTACATCTGGGAGGGGAGAGATGCAGGTGGCACAGTCAGAACCTGTTGCCTGGGACCCTAGACCTCTGCCTCAGGTAGTGGCATGGGCTGTTTACAAAGGACTAGGGGGAGATGTGAGGAAAGCCGGTAATCTCAAAGGGTGGCAGCCTGTGTTGCTTAATTTTAGAAATCCTACTGAGTCCCACTGTGTGCTAGGAACCGCTGCCGGATGGCCTCTCTCTGTCACCCTCTCCTGCCCTCTCTCAGTGTATACAGTCAGAGGTCCTGACAAGGAGGTCAGCAGCTGAACAACCTTTGCCCCGTACACATACCTAGGTTCAATCCATAATTCCCTCTCTCTAGATATCAGCCTTCAGAAAGGGGGACTGGCCCAAGGTAGAGACACAGGAGGCTGAGGCGGGGCGGGAGAGGGTCCTCTTCAAGGGGACATGGAGGACTTTGGGGGTCTCACTCCCACACTGATCTCTTCGTCTCCTGGGACAGGGAAGGATGGAAGAGTCCCAGCCCTAGATGTCATGAAGTGCCTCACTGTCCCACACTGAGAAAGGAACTGCCCTGACTCTGACCCCCCCTTTCCTCTGCCCCTCACTATCGTCCTTTGTTCTTCCTGCCCATCGTCCCAGGGTCCCTTCCCCTCATCTCTTTCCTTGGTCACACCTCCATAGGCTATTGTCCCTTTCCCTTCTCAGTGAAGGCAGTCGTTCCTGGCTGAGTGGTTATGCAGAACTAGGGTGCCCACGGAGGGACAGCAGAGGAGCCTGGGTCATACCAGTGACAATATGTGGCTTCTCTGTCCCTCTTAGCTGGGCAAGGTCCTAAGCCCACGCCAAACAGGTGCTGTCTGGAGTCAGGCTGGAACTGGGGTCTGGAGAATCAAGGCCTCATGATTGGGAAGGCCCCAGGGTGGAGAGTGAAACACAATGAGATAGTCACACGGGGCAAAGGCATGTCGAGGGGGTGGCAGACATTGGTAACACACACTCACACATGCTTGCGCACACACAACCAGTCAGACAATTGGGCCAGTGTGTCTGGGGCTGCAGAGCCCAGTGAATTAGGAGTTTGATAAGGGTTTTCTCTTTCTCTCGCTCACTGGCCTTGGACAATCTCCCCCCAGTTTTCCTCGACGCCACCCCCGGCGCTGCCAACCCTCCTCCCCCCGCCTCCCTTCTCTTCCCTGTGCCCAGACTCTTGTTCGGGGCCTTGAAACAGTGAGCTGTCTTTGTTCGAAATACAGGTGAACGGCAATCATGTGATTAACGCACACACACATAAAAAGCTTTTTAACAGCGCCCGCCCGGCCTCAGAACCGCCCGGAGAGAAGCCGCCTTGGATGGACAGAGGGACTGAGCTACAAGCATCCAGCCAGTCGTGTCCCGGCTCCTCTGCAGCGGTCTCCAACGTCCGCTGCTGCCCGCCCGCTGCCCGCCTGCCCGCCTGGCATCTCTCTCCCGGTGGGTCCCTGTTCATCTCCCCACCCTTCGGTCCCTCCTCTTGGAGGGAAGGTCCTCCCTGCTCTCTGTCTGTGGCTGAGCCTGAGACTCCTGGGGCATGGAGGAGCGCTGTGGGGGGGAGTGGGCCCAGGATTATAGGAAGCTGGGGGCGGGGGAGGTGGTGGTCTCACAGCCGCTGACCTCTCCAGTTCCCTGCCACCACCCTCTTGGGCCCAGCTGCCAGTAAGGGGTGTGTATGTGTGTGTGTGGGGCGCTCTTTAGAGGGTCACACCTGGTTTGGGCTCCCTCTCCGTTTCTTCTTCGTCCCTGCACACAGGTTCTCCTGAGTGCTTGACTTGCTTGGCCCCTGCCTAGCTACCTGCTGAGAGATGCTGCTGGGGTGGCTAGGCCTGAAGAGGGGGGAGGGCAGGGGAAGGATTGCATGTTTATTGAGGGTTTCCCCTGTGAACAAGATGTCTGTAAACCCCAGACTGGCAATCATGATGCCTTTGCCTCATTTTCGGTCTTAGGAACCCAGTGCTCTCCAGCAGAAGAACGTAAAGGTCCCATTTTCTCCACAGAGTAGGGAATTAGGAAAGTGGGGAGGGTCCCTGCTTTTCAATGTCAGGCCTCAGGGACCTGAGGGTGGCCAGGAGGGCCAGGGCTACCACCTGCTTCTTTCCCAGCTGCCAGCTAGAAGGGAGGGGCTGTTTTCCTCTCCATTCCTGATTCTATCCCAGGGATGCTCGTGACCCCATGCCCACATCCTATCAAAGCTGCCCCAAGAGGAGGGCTCCTCCCCACCATGGGTGAGGGTGGTGCTGGTGTATGTTCCTCAGCAGAGGGCCAAGGCCTGAGTGTGGTGGAATCCAGGCTTCCTGCCATGGGTGGAGGCCAATCATGAGCTTCCTGGGTACAGCTCGTGTTCCTTTGAGATGGTCCCAAATCCCCCCAGAAGGTAGTCCTTGGGAGGGACCTGAAATCTTTCAGTGGGACTCGAAGTCCACTGATGATACCTCCAGGCCAGATCATCTCAGGTCAGCAGTAACCCTTAACCCTTTTTGGGGGTGCTGTCCTGCCTGGCAGCAAACGTCACCCATAATCCCCAACCCTGAGCCCAGGCCTCTCATTTGTCACATGGCAGAGGAATGCCATCTTTCCCTGCCTTGGAGGATATACAGAGAGTAGGAAACCGGCTACTTGGCAGGACCAGGAGCTTTGAGGCATTAGGATGGCTCCAGGGAAGCTTGAGCTTTGGCCTTAGGTTCAGTTTTCTGGACGGTCACCTGTCTTTCAGACCCCCATAGGACAGGGAAAGGATGAGATGGGGGCCACCTCTGATCACAGAGGTATAGACCACACCTGGAATCCCTGCTCCCTCTCATCGGCCTTCCCAAGTCTATGTTTCGGCTGCCCTGGATCCTGGGGGCTAGCTTGGTGTTTCTCAGTCATGAGGGGCCTGAGGTTCTGCATTCCTGCCAGGTTTGTTTCCTGGCACCTGCCCAGGGCTGGTCTCAGGTCTGGAATCATATACACAAGTGCGTGCAGCCCCAGTTAGCCTTGAACTCTCCATTCCCTGGCCTCAGCCTCCCAAGGAGCTAGGATTACAGGTGTGCACCTCCATATCAGCTGTATGCAGTTAAGACAAATGCTTATTTGGATTTAAAAATGTCAAATTCTACACCAGACTGTTCATTTTGAATGACTTTCTGGGAAGCAGAGGCAGGTATATTTTATTTTTATTTTTGTAATTCCCTCGACAGGCTCTGGTTTCCTTCCAGGGTCCCTGCAACTCCAAGACTGGGAGGGATCCCCTGCCAGATCCAAAGTCTCTAAGAAGAATGGACAGGACTTACTTGGACTCTGAGCCAGAGAGCCAGTGACCAAACTTGTAGTCACTTGAGTTTGAGGGCGTGGCAAGGGAAGACCCTGGCATCCAACCATGCCTTGGAGCCTCAGCTTGCACTAGGGGGTGTCTGGGGATGAGCATGCACCTTTGAACGCCTTCTAGGTCACTCCATCTTGGCAGGGCTGTGTTTTCCTCTGTTTAGATGTAGTAGAAAATTATGTGACACCGGGGAGGGTCCACCATTCATACCCATGTGGCCCTGGGCAAGCTAGTCTAGAAATGTTGGGACTTGGTTTTACCTGTACAATGTCGACAGTTTCATACATTCACTGCATGTATCTTTAAAGTGTGTGTATGCAAGGGAGAGAAAAATACACACACACACACACACACACACACACACACATCTACTTAGTAATTATAGTAAGCGTTCACTAGAGAAAATAAGGTAGGCTCGGGGCTAATGCCAAGAGACATGGTGAAGAGTTCTCTTCATTCCCGTTGCACGGGCACCTGGCTGTAGATCCACCTTCAGGAATTCGGGCTCTGCTTGCTTTTGTAATACCAGGGAGTAGGGAACGGGGAAGGGGACCCAGGGTTGAGAGACTCCTATATACTAGGCAAGCTTGTCCAGCCCTTACCCTCAGGAACTTCTCCTATGCTCTCAAATCCAGGTCCAGGCCAGGGAAGGCTGTGGTGAGCTCCTGCCTGTGCGTGGCCTCCTCTCTGCACCCTGTAGCAGCGGCCTCCAGAGTCTCTAACTAAAGTGGGGAGGGAGAACCTGCCCAGCTCCGAGGGCTCATGGTGTTTGATTCTACTCTCTGAACAACCCTCTGCCTGAGTCTGGTATCTTTATTCTTCAGGGAAACTGAGGCACAGAAAGGCTGAGAGATGAACTCATGCTCAACCAGCTAGTTATGAAAGTTAGGAGACCTGGGGTTGGTTTCTCCAGTCTAGTCCTCATGGCTGTCTGCTGCCCCTAGACCCCAGGCAGAGTCACAGGGGCCTGTCTTTCCTACTCTCCTGCTGGGCTGGGCTATTCACCTTGCCCACTGAGTTCTCTCACTGGGCATCTCCTGCCATCTGTGTGCTGAGGGCTAGTCCTTGCTTGCAGCCCAGCTAAGAGGTCCTCTTCTGGGCATTTTTGCTAGAATTCTTTTCCTTCTGTGCTCCATTTGGAGACATGTCTATGTGTGCATGCTTCCTGTGTTCTCTCTTCCTGACCCAGCTTGGTGATCAAGACGACCATCATTTTCTGTTGCAGCCCTCGGAGGGCAGGGCTCGTTGGTCTTGGTTGATCTACAGCCCAGTGTGCTTTTCGGTGATGGTCCTTGAGTTGCGTTCCTATCTAAAGAGGAAAAGAGAAGGGGACTGGAACAGTCAGGGAGGGCTTCCTGGAGGTGGAGGGCCTGTGCTCTGAGGCAGGAGGAGTAAATCTGTTCCAAGACCTGACCCAACAGGGGCCCTGGCACTGCCCTGTTTCTTCTTGGAGCTGGAGGCCATTCCAGAGGTCCAAATCTTCCTTCTTCCAACCCCACCCTCTCCGGGAACAAGGAAGTCAGGGCTGGTGCCCAGTGCCGCCTGGGGCAGTCTGGCCTCTGCCCCCTTCTTAGAAGCCGTCAGAGACAGAGACTACTCGTTCCTGTCATCAGACCCAGCTGTCTGGAGAACCCTTTCTGCTCCGAGCTGCTCAGTTGTTTCTGGGCAGAGCAGGGCAGGGGGGCTCAGGAGCTGGGACAGGAGGTGATGGCGGCAGGCCTGGTTTTGGAGGTTAGGGTTTGTTTAACCAGACTAGCTTGGAACCCTAGAACTTGGCATGGCTGAGTCTTCCATGGATGATATATACTGGAACCCCTCCCAGCCGAAGCCCAAAGGTTCTGACGACTGCAGATGCCTAGGTGGCCCTGGCTTCCTTCATTCCTCTCTGGACCTTAGTTTCCCCATTTATTTTTTGTTTGTTTGTTTGTTTGTTTTGTTTTGTTTTTTGAGCCAGGGTCTCTCTGTGAAACAGTCCTGGCTGCCTTGGAATTAGCTCTGTAGACCATGCTGACCTCAAACTCACAAAGATCCACTTGCCTCTGCCTCCTGAGTGCTGGGATTAAAGGCGTGCGCCACAACCGCTCGGTTAGTTTCCCTATTTGTAAAATGAGGGGTAGCAAGGTATCCTGAGAGCCCCGAGAGCCTGTGCCATGCTTCATAAAGAAAGACAGTGTCCAGCCCAGTACCTGTCCTTTGTGCACCTTGGCACATCCCTGGGTCTCTCCCAAGGGTCAGGGTCAGACACCACATTTTCCTACAGCTGTGGTAATGTGTTTCTAAATGATGTGTCGGAAGTTCAAGGTTCCAGAATTAAGAAATTGCCTTGCCTTTTACTTAAAACATGAACCCTCATTTTTTTTTTAAGTTAGTGTCTTTGTTGTTTTGGAATAGGGTCTCACTTGACGTGGCCCAGGCTGGCCCAGGTTTAGTCTGCTATGTAGCCTAGGCTGGTCTTGAACTCATTGCCTCCTGCTTTAGCCTCTTGCATGCTGCAGTTACAAGCAAGCGCCACGTGCCTTTCTGCTTATTAACTACTGTTTTGGTGGATCATAGTTCCATCATCCCAGAGAGGACAGAGTTGCTGAGCATGGCCTTGGAGGCACCTCAATGCCTAAGCATGATGCAGTCTTCCCCAGCTCTGCCTGTTTTGACCTTTGCTGGGTGATTACCAGGCCTTATTCACAGGACTTGGGGGCCCCTCCTGTCTTGTGCCTTCCCTTTCCTGTGATTGATGCCTCTGTTCTCCCTCCATCTTCTCTCCTCCAACTTAGACCCTTTCCTGCTTCCTGTCCTCCCCCTCCCCCATCCCAAGAGTAAGGGGAGAAGAAGGGCTGTGATTTCAGCTCTCCCATCCCCACACCGAGCTCCCAACCCATGGACCTCAACTTACCCCTGCCCTTGGCTTTCACTAAAGCCAAGTCCACCCTCCCACCCTACAGGCCAGCCTCTCTTCTGCCTCCTGCCTTGCTTGCCCACTCATGGGGCCTTATATCTTTGGGCTGTGACCTCAGGGCTGGGTTCTGCTTCCCTCCTCGATGGAGCTGCATGAGGAAAGTCCACAGCAAAAGAGAGAATCACCTACGCGTAGGTGTGGAGGTCATTTGGGGGCCTGAGAAGGCCTGAGCTGGCACTC